GATCAAGAACCTAATCAAATATTCAAGAATTAATTCCGTACTATCACAATTTCACACTGAAATCATCATTAAGACTACCCTTAATCACGATGCTATTTCCTATCAATCTCCACATGATCAGATCTCTCCAAATTTATTCTTATATCACAACTAAACATTTAAATTCCCGTTAATTGTTGACCCTCGGTGTGTGATTAGTGACCTGTGAACAGTGTCGTGAACAGTAACCACGACATGAACAGTAACTCCAACTTCCAAAATTGGCAAAACCATAGCCTATTATCACGGGATTTTCTCCAAAAATCACAGCAACTAATCAAGCTAATTTCTCTACCTAAACCAAGCTTAAAACATAACTTAATGCTGCCAAAATTCATCCCCAATTTCAGCCAAATTCGGACATCACAGAGGCAGCCAATAAATAGACAAAATTCAGCAATTAATTGATGAAATTTTGGGCTTGGAGGAGCTGTCAACATACCATAATTTTCCAGCACAATCGGACTGCAGTTTGGGGAAGAAGGCTGGCGGGAATCTGTAGAAAATTCAGGGGAACTATCGAAATACAAGAACCAAGAGGAATTAAAGCAAACCCAAGCCCAAATCAAAGCTAAAGAGATGATTTCTTGGCTAAATCTTACTAGAAAATCAAGGCAATTCACCCCCACAAAGCAAGAGCAGCTGGCGATGAAGAGGAAGAGCAGAGCAAATCCGGATTTTCCAGGAGGGGGAGAAGGTTTCTAAGCTCCAAATCTGGTTTTTGGACAAGAAAAGAAAGGCAAAAACCCAAGCCTCTTACCAATTTTCTCAAGAGGAGGGCTGTCGGTGGCTGGGTTCTTTTTGTTCGGCTGTAAGGGGGTCGGGAAGAGCAGAACACGCGAGCTGGAAGAAAAGAAAGAAGAGAAAAAGAAAAAGAAAGAAACTGATCCTTATCCAAATTTTGCCACTTTAAGTCCTTCAAGTTTGTGATATTTAGCACTTAGTTAAGGACTTGATTGTGAGGAAAATATTGTTTTGGGCTTAATAGCCAAAATATCCAAACTTGAGGGACTTAAAGAGGGAAAATTTGGATAAGGATCAGTTTCTTTCTTTTTCTTTTTCTTTTCTTTCTTTTCTTCCAGCCCGTGTGTTCTGCTCTTCCCAACCCCCCTGTAGCCGAACAAAAAGAACCCAGCCATCTACAGCCCTCCTCTTGAGAAAATCGGTAAGAGGCTTGGGTTTTTGCCTTTCTTTTCTTGTCCAAAAACCAGATTTGGAGCTTAGAAACCTTTTCCCCTTGCTGGAAAATCTGGATCTGCTCTGCTCTGCTCTTCCTCTTCACCACCAGCTGCTCCTGCTTTGTGGGGGCGAATTGCCTTGATTTTCTTGTAAGATTCATCCAAGAAATCATCTCCTTAGCTTTGATTTGGGCTTGAGTTTGCTTTAATTCCTCTTGGTTCTTGAATTTCGATAGTTCCCCTGAATTTTCTGTAGATTCTCGCCAGCCTTCTTCCCCAAACTACAGTTTGGTTGTGCTGGAAAATTATGGTATGTTGACAGCTCCTCCAAGCCCAAAATTTCATCAATTAATTGTTGAATTTTGTCTATTTATTGGCTGCCCTTGTGTTGTCCGAATTTGGCTAAAATTGGGGATGAATTTTGGCAGCATTAAGTTATGTTTTAAGCTTGGTTTAGGTAGATAAATTAGCTTGATTAGTTGCTGTGATTTTTGGAGAAAATCCCGTGAGAATAGGCTATGGTTTTGCCAATTTTGGAAGTTGGAGTTATTGTTCACGTCGTGGTTACTGTTCACGACACTGTTCACGGGTCACTGATCACACACCGAGGGTCAACAATTAACGGGAATTTAAATGTTTAGTGGTGATATAAGAATAAATTTGGATGGAGATTGATAGGAAATAGCATCGTGATTAAGGGTAGTCTTAATGATGATTTCAGTGTGAAATTGTGATAGTACGGAATTAATTCTTGAATATTTGATTAGGTTCTTGATCATTGGGGTGCTTTAGTACGTGAATTGAGTGCTCGGTTTTATGCGAGTGAGGTAAGTAAATTTATGGTAATGCTCGTACAATTTTTAAAAGCATGTTTTGACTTGTTTTTGAAGTGGTGGCGGGACCAAACCCGTTTTACACGAGCATGACTGATTTGAAGTGAAATTTTTATTCTTTTCATTAAATTGAGCATGCCTACTTGAAAGTTTAATTGATTGTCCTGATGATTTGAAAGCGATTGGTGAATTATGATTTTTCTGTTAACTTCTGCCTGTTTTGTCTCCGATGTGGTTATGTTATTGATGATCCTGCTAGTGGGGGTTAAACGCTAGCACATGTTGACATGTTATTGATAGAACCGGTTCGTTCAACCTTGCTAGTGGGGGTTATACACCAGCAAGTAATGTAGCCTGCCAGTGGGAGGTTTAAACACTGGCCATGACCTATAAAGGAGATATCTATTTCGTTCTCGTACTGTATCCATTTTTCGTGATTGCACTTGTTGGCATACTATAAGTTTAATAAGGGCACTCCATATTTACTTACTGAGTTTATCTCATAGTTTTCCTTGTCCACCATTTTAGGAAGCGAAATCGAGGACGGGGAAACCACGGGAAGTGACGAGTTAGAAGGCTAGCCATTTCGAGATTGATAGAGATTTTAGAAATAAATCATGATCTTGTAAACCAGAGTGTATTTGGAGATTTATGATATCAGAGTAAATTTTAAAAAGTTGATCCTCATATTTTGATGCTATCAGATGTGAATTGGATAAGTTCCGAGCCTTGTACATTTGTGGGACCCTCTCACGAGTGCACGGCATCTGTCGCGCCTTGAATTTGGGTTTTGGGGCGTGACAGATTTAGTGGTATAAGAGCTTAGGTTAAATTAGATATCTGGAGATTAAGTGGTATCAGAGCTTAGGTTGAAATTAAGAGCTTAAGTTTAATTAAATACCTAGGTTTAATTGAATACCTAGGATTTGTTTTGGAACTTGGCTGGCCAATGGATTTTAGAACTGTGGTGAGGCGAGTGATGGGGTTATATAAGGGACGATTCTAATTCATATTGCCTGAATTTTCTAATCCATTTTGATGAGATGGTAATCGGATTGTTCTTGTTTCCTACCTTCATACCCTATGTAGATTCATGAAATTAATCTTGTCCGCCATGTTCTTAAGACCTTGTTTGGAAACTTGGTCATTTTCTGATAGTCTGCACTTGTTTAGACTTGTTACTCGAATAGAGTTTTTGTATGCTCTTTTGCCACAATTGTAAAATCTGGGGAGTTGCAGAGATCTTTTGTTATTGATCCTATTGGTCTCTACAGCATAGTTGGTGGAGAATTTGTTTTGTTTGTCACATGACCAGTGGAAGATGGGCAACCCTCTATTTTGTAAGAGATGCAAGGCTATTTTAGCAAATGTTATGTGTTTTCTAGATGTGTTTTAGGAGCTGGATAACTTGGTAATTTTGCTGCTCATTATCTTTCTGGAAGTCTTATAGTGAAATTTCACTTTTTCCATTTGGAGCTTCATGGTCTTTTCATGTGGCTCATTTTTCTATATTGGTTACTCAAAAACAGTGATCGATTTAATTGAAATTGTCATTTTTGTGAAGATTGGCAAGTTGTCATAAAGTTAAACTCTCTATTGTTGCTAATCTCTACATTCTTGATACCTGGAAATTGCTTGAAACTCCTAAAATTCGTCTTGAATCTTTCTTGAGATTGCTTTGTACTTGTTCTTGGAACTGAAATCCAAAGGAAATGGATAATGATTATTGAAATCTTCATTATCTTGATACTTGTCTGAAACTATTTCTTGAAACTGTTTCTGGCATTGTGCTTGGAATTGGTTCATAAACCTTGCTTGAAATTAATTCTTTTTGGAATTCTACTCTTGAAAATCGACTGATATTGTTCTTGAAATCTTATCTCGAACCTTGCTTGGAGTAAAGTCATGTTAGCATCCTTTTCTTGAAAATCAATTGATATTTGGTTTTTGGAATCTATTTTGAATTGTCCTTGAAAACCATTCTTGTCGTGACCTTTGCTCTTGCTCAAATTCTATATACTACTCTTGCTCAAATTCTGCATATTCTGCTAGTTCTTATTTTAGTATACTTGTTGATCTTGATTTTGATTTTGTTCATATGGACACCTCTTTAGGAGGGGTGACGGTTATTAGAAGATACTTATATGAGGCATCTTCATTTCTGTCTCTTGCAAGTGTCAATCTCTGTATTCTTGATGTCTTAGCTTTGACTTGACTCTAGGATGTCCAGGATGACTTGATTGTAAATCTGCTTAACCTCCATGGGCTACGAGGTGAAAGGTAGTCTTTGAAGTACCTGATGCCCTAAAGTTTTGTTCTGTTAATTAATTCTAGTACTTGAGGTGCTAGATCTTGACATCCTGGTTATATCTACTCTTGAATCTGTGTTCTGGTTGTCATTATTGAAATCTCTTTTGTGAGCCTAATCCCTGAATTCTATTGCTTGTTTCATGGTTAACTCTTGTTTCTCAATTTTGACTGCTTGGTTAAATCTGATCTTGATTCTTGGTGAATGCCGTTTTGTTGCTAAATTTTTTGAGGCATTCTACCTTGCACTCTTATGTTCTAGTATTCTTCCAAGCATTCATATTTTTCACTAATTTCATTCTGATGCTATTTTGGAAATTTCACATGTCATTTGATGGGTCTAGCTTTTAACTCTGTTTAATTGCTAAAATCTTTCTCTTGATTCCAGTTGCTTTGTTAAACATGATCTTACTTATTGGTTAACCTTGTTTTGTGGTAGAGTTTATAAGGCATCCATGCACTTGTTCATTCATTCATGATCCATATATCCATTGGATGCTTATCCGTCTTTGATAAGAGTTCAAAGTTTTGTTGTACTTGTCTTTAAATCCATGCCATTCTTTGCTAACTCATCTTGTGTTGGGTTCAAAGCATAACCCCACAATTGTCCTTTTGTGGCTTTGGCAGGATTTATTTCTATTCCTTGTGCTTCCCATATCACCCCAGCCTCCAATAAGTTGTTTCATGGTAAACCCTGTTAAGTAGCTAGTGTTCTGCTTCTAAGATTAGTTGTGGTTTGTTATCAGAGTGGCGCAGCGGAAGCATAGTAGACCGTGTTTTGTTCACAGAAGTCAGTGGGGCATTTGTTTTGTATCGGATTGTGTGAAGCCATTTACCACTCGAAATGATCCCCAATTTGAGTTTTGGGGACAAAACTCCTTTTTAGGAGGGGTGGATGTAATACCCCAAAATTTTGTGATATTTAGCACTTAGTTAAGGACTTGATTGTTAGGAAAATATTGTTTTGGGCTTAATAGCCAAAATATCCAAACTTGAGGGACTTAAAGAGGGAAAATTTGGATAAGGATCAGTTTCTTTCTTTTTCTTTTTCTCTTCTTTCTTTTCTTTCAGCCCGCGTGTTTTGCTCTTCCCAACCCCCCTGCAGCCGAACAAAAAGAATCCAGCCACCGACGGCCCTCCTCTTGAGAAAACCGGTAAGAGGCTTGGGTTTTTGCCTTTCTTTTCTTGTCCAAAAACCAGATTTGGAGCTTAGAAACCTTCTCCCCCTCCTGGAAAATCCAGATCTGCTCTGCTTTTCCTCTTCACCACCGGCTGCTCTTGCTTTGTGGGGGCGAATTGCCTTGATTTTCTGGTAAGATTCAGCCAAGAAATCATCTCTTTAGCTTTGATTTGGGCTTGGGTTTGCTTTAATTCCTCTTGGTTCTTGAATTTCGGTAGTTCCCCTGAATTTTCTGTAGATTCCCGTCGGCCTTCTTCCCCAAACTGCAATCCGGTTGTGCTGGAAAATTATGGTATGTTGACAGCTCCTCCAAGCCCAAAATTTCATCAATTAATTGCTAAATTTTGTCTATTTATTGGCTGCCCCTGTGATGTCCGAATTTGGCTGAAATTGGGGATGAATTTTGGTAGCATTAAGTTATGTTTTAAGCTTGGTTTAGGTAGAGAAATTAGCTTGATTAGTTGCTGTGATTTTTGGAGAAAATCCCGTGAGAATAGGCTATG